AAGTCCTCGCACCGTAGACATAATGAAGATCCCATACCTTCCTTCTGCGCATGGGGAGCTGGCTTGCGTTAATTCTTCTGATTGTTCTTATTCTTTGACACCACTAATTTCGCCGTCCTCCCCGTGTTATACCTTTGAATGATTTTGATTCTTCTCGTTCCTTGACTCTGATTTCGTCGTCCTGCCCGCATTGTACCTCTTGTTGATGATTTTGATTCTTGTCGCTCGTTGACTCTGATTTCCTTGTTCTCCCACGTTGCACCGCTTTTTAATGATTTTGATTCGTCTCATTCCTTGATACTAATCCCCCCCCCCGGGCGTACCTCTTCGTCATCTTAGAGTGGGCATATGCGGCCTACCCTAGATCCACTTTCGTGTTCCGGCATCATTGAGATTCCCCATGCTCTCAACTATATATGTACAAGTTTGCTTTTGTATCGCATTTGTAGCTGTCCTTATCGTTCCAAAATCCATGAAATAACCCATATTGTGCCCATACTCTAGATCTGAGAAGATGTTACATCACGGAAGCACACCACAAGGTACAGCCACTTCATCTGTAAAGAACATTAGCTATGGGTAGAAGGGACCTCTGAGACTCACTATTGGGGTCCCATAGTGACTGTGGGCTCTACCTTGATTGGGAAGGCACTACAGTGACTCTGCCTCTGCTATGTGAATGGTATGGAACTCTGGAAGGCATACTAGCTACCTCCATAATGTGAACAAATGCATAAAATTAATAACATGACACAGGAAGGGCATCTCCAAGTCTCATATGAGTGGATTCTCATGGAATTGCATTGCCAAGAGCTGTGGCCTTTCATTGCAGTAGGTGCAAGCAAGCCTCAGGCTGAGTACTAGTAAGGGTCTTGCCCAATTCTGCAGCCCAGGGCTCACCATGACTGGCAGGGAGGTGGTGCCAGGCAGACTCACCATGACATCCCATTCAGTTGGTGCTCTGATTGCCAGACCTTAACTTGGACCATCATGATTGTTCGACATCTGTGGGGTGAGACGGAGTATCCCAACCAACAGCAACAAAACTCATTTGACAGCTTTGAAGCATTCTTGACTGTCAAATATTCCTGGAAGGTCATGACCATGGAGTCAGTTGGGCATCCTTCCACCCTGCCCTCTCACTCATTGTCTCTGCTGGTGATGATTGTCAAACTGGTGGATGAGTGAGACAAAGGCTTGGGAGGTTGACACATGCTGCAGCCACTTCAACAATGTCTGAAGTGATCCTGTCTGCAGGTGAGGACAAAACCATTCACATGTGGGATATGTTGAAGAGGACCATGGTTCAGATGTTCCATAGGGAATGCAATAGGTCCTGGGCCCTGTGTGCACATCCAGAGTTGAATTTGTTTGCAGCTGGTGCATTCATCCATCCATTCCCTCCACTCAAATCCTTACTTCTCATTCAGGTCATGACAATTGTTGGATTGTCTTTTCAAACTTGAGTGTGAGTGCCCTGCATTTGCCTTGCACCATGACACCCTGTATTATATTCGAGACTAATATGTGTGTCAGCACAACTTGACAACTGGATCTGATGTTGGTGTTCTGAGTGTGTGAAAGCTTGGCAACCAGTATATTCAGCTGCATACTTTGAGCTTCAACCCCTGCGGAGTGCACTGTTCTTGTCACTTTGGTGAGCTATAGTTGTTGCCTAATGTACCTTGCCTAATGTTGTATCACAGACCGCAGACAATGGGATCTATGAGTTGGCTACCTTGCCCAAGGATGCCAGTGGAGAACTGAGAGATTCCACCTCTGATGGAAAGCAGGGTTCTGGCTACAGTGCCATTTTTGTTGCTTGCAATCACTTTGCAGTGCTGGACAAGAATGCTGAGACAATTGAGATCTGTGATCTCAATAACACTCTGACCAAGACAATCAAACTGCAAGTACAAATGAGCAAGATTTTCTACAGTGGCACCACAAGTATTTTGCTAAGTTTGCCTACTGCAGTAGTTTTGTTCAACATCTGACAACAGAAGGTTCTGCCCCAGCTGAGCACTCAGGTCATGAAAAACACTGTGTGGAGCTCAGACAGTGCTAATGTTGCTCTGCTTGGCAAGCACAGTGAGTATTTCTAACCATCTGTTCTGTATGTACTGAAACATCTTCCTAGTGATTACTATTGCCAACAAGACCTTGACACAGAGCAGCCTCATTCACAAGACCATTTGCATCAAGTCTGGAGCATGGGACAATAGCAGTGTCTTTATTTACTCCACGTTGAATCACATCAAATATGCTCTACCACAAGGGTTGGTTCAATGAATATGCTTCTGAGACTAATGCTGACACACATATACAGACAATGGCATCATCAAGACACTTGATCAACCAATCTATCTTACTTGGATCAAGGGGAAGATGCTCCACTGTCTGGATTGTTCCACTTGCCCCAGGACCATCGTGATTGACCCCACAGAATATTGCTTCAAGGTGGCACTTCTTCGCCATAACTACGAGGTCCTGCACATTATTTGCACTTCATGGGCCAGAGCATCATCTCTTATCTTCAAAAGAAGGGTTTCTCTGAAATTGCGCTTCACTTTGTTCAAGACAAGAACACATGATTTGAGCTCACTACTGAGTGCAGCAATGTTGATGTTGCCCTAGAGACTGCAGTTGCACTCAACCAGCCCAAGAGCTGGAACAGCCTTGCTCAGCAAATGTTGGAGCAGGGTAACTACAAAATTGTGCAAACTGCCTACCAAACCATTCAGAACTCTGATTGCTTGTCCTTCCTATACATGACAATGGGCACACACAAGAAGCTTGCAAAGATGGCCAAGATCGCCAAGCCTTGTGGCAATCAGATGTTGATGTTCCACAACTCACTCTACCCAGGTGACATTGTCTCTAGGATTAACATCCTTTGAGACATTGGACTGTGTATGCCCCTTTTTCCCATGCAAACACTCAATACTCACTGTTGACAGACCCCCCTTGCTTACATGACCACAGAGACAAACGGTCTTGAAGACATGGCCAATGGCATCCTCCACACAGCTGGTCTTACCAAAGTTGAATTGGATGATGTCTGAGCTTTTGAAATGTCAACCCTCAGGCCACCACCCATCATCTCTGGCGCCAGGCTGCTACAGTGGTAATTCCTCAGTAGTGTGCACAACTTCTTTGAGCATGCCCTCATTGAAGGTTGCCTAGCTGCAGGGGCTCCCTATGTCAACAGCATGGATGCTGCTGCTGCCAACACTGCTCTGGACAAGTGGGAGGGTGACAATGCTGGTCCAGTTGTTGATCAAGGGGACGTTGAGGGCTGGGGCATAGATGAAGCCATTGTTCCTCATGCTGAAGAGGAAGAAGAGGAAGAGCAGGCAGACTTGGCTTATTCTGCACCAGGTATTAGTGAGGCAAATCTCTGGGTCTGCAACTCCCCAGTTGCATCAGACCACATTGCTGCTGGGTCCTTCAATATGGCAATGCAGCTGTTCAATTGCCAAGTCAGCATGGTCAACTTTGAACTGCTCAAGCCTATCTTCTTAGCCATCTATCATTCCTCTTACACATGTCTCACTGTGAATGCTTCAGTGCCACCTATTCAGATATGTCTTTGCCGGCAACCTACTTCTTCCAAGCCCAGCCAGGTGTACCTGACCATATCCCAAACCCTCCAAGCGATCCCCTCTGGTGATCTCCAGAGTGCCTATCGAGCTGTGCACTCCAATGAGCTTCCAGAAGCTGGCAACCTGTTCCATTCCATCCTCCACTCCTTGCTATTTGTGGTCATATCCCCACAGCCAGAGGCAAAGGAGGTAAGCTGTTTTCCATTGTAAAAAGTTTTATCTGCTGATGTCTTCACAGCTCTGTGACATCATTTTGTCATGCAAAGAGTATTTGTTAGGGATCTCTATTGGCCTGGGGGGCCGTCGCCTTGCCCAGGATGAGCCAGATAATGTCCACCAGAGCATAGAACTGGCAGCATACTCCATGAACTGCAAGCTGCAACCTGCCCACCATATGATTGCCATTTGCAACAGAATGACCATGTTCTCACAGGCCCAAAACTTTGCCACCACACTGTGTTTGTCAGGGTGAGGGGATCTTTGCCTCTTGGTATCCTGATATCTCTGTGTCTTGACATCTCTGTGTCTTGGTATCTCTGTGTCTTGGTATCTCCATGTCTTGGTATCTCTGTGTCTCAGTATCTCTGTGTCTTGTCTCTGTGTCTGAGTATCTTGGTATCACTGTGTCTTGGCATCTTGGCATCTCTGTGTCTTCATATCTCACTATCTCTGTGTCTTCATATCTTGGTATCTCCGTGTCTTAGCATCTTAGTATCTCTGTGTCTTAGTATCTTGGTGTCTCTGTGTCTTAGTATCTCAGTATCTTTGTGTCTTCATATCTTGGTATCTTAGTATCTCAGGGCCTTTGTGTCTTGATCTGTTTCCATTAGTATCTTGGGATGATGGGATCATTGCCTCCCAGTATCCTGATATCTATGTGTCTTGGTATCTTGATTCTCAAGATCTTGGGACCTTGTTGGCTTCTCAGGATTGTTGCATCCTGGGGTCTTTCTGTCTTCATATACAATGTATCCTCCTACACTCAGGCATGCCTCCAAAAATCCAATATTCTGGGCCAGGTGGTGTAGTCAATGTTCTCCTGACCATGCTTGTTCAAGCCTAAATACACCTTCCAGAGATTGCATTGTGATGGGCCAGGAGCATAGTTGAGGTATGTTCTCCTGACTGTGCTTGCTTGCAACTGAATACACCTTCCAGAGATTGCAATGTACCGGGGCCAGGAGCATAGTCAAGGTATGTTCTCCTGACTGTGCTTGTTTGAGACTGAATACACCTTCCAGATATTGCAATGTGACAGGCCAGGAGCATAGTTGAGGTATGTTCCTCTGACCATGTGTTTCTTGGTTACAGAACTCCATATATTAGGAGCCTGTCTACAGAGTGTGTCAGGATCTTCCTGACAAGAATGTTTGGATCTCAGTATATTAGGATCCTCTCTACAGGGTATGTCAGGATCCTGCAAAGAGGGTATGTTAGGATCCTGTCTGGAGGGTATGTTAGAATCTCCCTGGCAGGTTAGGATCCTCCTGATAAGAATGTCAGCATCCTCATTGCAGGATATGTTATGAGCTGCCTTGCAGTGCATGTCACTGTCATTGTCTTTTTGAAATGGTTACTGTTTGTTGGGCGACTCCTTATTCTCAGATTCCCAATGGGGTAGCCATCACACTCTGAATGACTGACTTCCATGATCCCCTCACAACTGAGTTTTGGGACCCAACTGTCCTACAGAATGTACAATACTCCAAAAGGGAATTTACCTTTCAGAAAGGAGGTACTAAAGGTGAGTTGATCATGAGTGCAAGTGGAGTACAGTGCTAAGCACATGGCACTGCCTTGGTAAAGAGCAAGCTCACCAGGTATGTTGTCTTTTTGTTGTGCCTCCAATTTTGTCTTCCCAGTCTTCCCATGCTTTCCACCTAGTACCATCATGCTGCCTCCTAATCCATCATCTTCCCTTGCTCAAACTCCTCAAATGAGCACAATATATAGACCCATGTCCAAGTTTGGTGTATTGGTGTCGTGGAACCTGAATGGGGATATTGAGGTGGTTGACCTGTATTAGGGTTGTGTCTTACCTTCCTCACTGTCTCCACCTGCCTCTTGAGCCATCTTCGATCTTCTGCTTCTTTTGTAAGAAAGTGGTGTTAACCCTCCCAAGCTGTGACACATGAAATTCTTCATCATTAGCCTCTGTTAAATGACTAATTTGCTATTACACAACTCCTGGCAACTACTGGCACCTCCTGGTGCTAGGACCATCTGCCACACCAAACAGGGAGAATAATTAAGTATGGAGGGTGCAGATAAAGCAGGAAATGCATCATTGTACTCTTTAAAATCAATCTGACAGGAAGCAAAGAACATTGTTGCAATCAAAGATCAGCACTTGGTATTTCTGGTTGCCCTCTTCCAAACAGATTGCTGGATCTCAGGCTCAAACTGTTCTGGGGGCCGGATGACTCAGTTTGACATGCTGGATCTCACAATGGTCATTCCCATCACATCAGTAATGGTTGGTGTGATAAGCTGCAATTCAGCCTGAGGATGCATGGGTCATGATTTGTTCTGACATTCCTTTGAATTTGGATGTTCCTCTGAAACAACAGGATTCTTGCCTACATCATGCACTGGGATCTGGTTGTCACAAAGAAGATCATTTTGGGGTAAAGGTGATGTGGGCATGCTGGGGGCATTTTCCGCAGAGGGGGGTAATGACATGCCTGCCAGAAGAGTGGCTGCACAATCATGCAAGAGGGATATCTCTTCACTGGCAATAAAAGTGTTGCAATCCAAATTCACAAGTGGATGAGGGCTTTCTGTGGGAAGAGTCAATTTTTCTGCCTGCCCAGCACTCAGATTGGTAGACCTTAACCCTTCTGGAGGATGTGCTGATTCTGGAGCAATTTTGTTTGATTGCACAGTGAGAGATGGGACTTGATCCTGGCAGCAAGAGATTGGTCACCTTGATCAATATGGCATGCAGATGTGGAAGCCATAAGGGGAAAAAAGACATTCCCACTTGATGAAGTGTGACATTGGCCTGATGGTCCAGTATCATGTCTGATGCATCACAGGTGTGTGCAGCACAACAGTCACACTTGATCCTTTGGGGTGCAAGGGGTGAGGTCGAGGTCAGGGTCTCTTTGGAGATCTGGGAGCTGCTGCCATACTGTGAACAATAGTCCCATCTGGAGCAGTAGTGCCTTCAAAGTTGATTTTTTGAATTGTTATTGGTTTTGGTCCCACATGGCAAGCCAACACTTTCTTTGAAGAGCAGAGAGCTGGGGGATGACCCGGTGCAGCAGATATATCGAGGTTCTCAAAGGAGCTGATTTCTAAATATACTGTTAGACATTCTTTGCGGACATTGTATGCATCATACCCTGAAGGTCATGTTCAGCCTGCAGACTATTGGTAAAGGAAATTATCAAGGAGCACATAGACTGAAGAAGGCCACCTGAAATCTCCTCTTCTCCTTGAGTAATGCTTGTTTTGGCAATATTGAGTGAGGGGAGGTGTTGCAAGCATTGCGACCATGCTTGTTGGCCAAGTGAATTTGCTCCAGTATGTGGCAAGCCATCTGCCACATGCTAAAACAAGCTGGAAGGGTCCAGAAGACTGGTAGTAGAAGTGAATGCTGGCCAAAGTTTGTCCTTGGCAGTTTGGGCTTGTGAAGATATTTTATCAACCATTGGCAGACTAGCCTTGGCCTCATGGCTCATGCATGATTGCAACAACAAATTCTTGTCCAGGTTGATGCTTGCCTCCTCAACTTTGGGAGTGCACAACAGTTCTGGGTGAGGTGATGCTGCCCTGCTGCTCCATTCAATATCAATGCTGGAATCTTTGGTGTCATCTGATGCAAGATCCTTGGCTTGCAGCCTCTCCAACAGGTTGCTGACATAAAGCAAGCGCTTGTTTTTTTTCACCACAAAGGCCCTGCTTGCTGCCCTGACATTGGACAAAATATTCAGCCAAAAATGAGGTCTGCATACAGAGACATGTACATCACATTCCAATACATCTCTTGCATCATCCAGTTGAATTGGTTCAGAAAAGCCTTCGAGAACTCTTTGACATTGTCTAGGTGATCCTGGTAGACTGAGCCCCAGGTTTGGGTGGTAAATTTGTGGGACATTCCCAACTTCCTCTCCCCACTTGCCCATTGTTCCAGAGCACAGTGAATCTATCCCATTAGGTCACAATTGATAGGGCTATAAATGTTGAATAAACTCACTGAAGTTATGATAAGGGCAAGCAATGCAGGCTGTCCTTTGCCAAATATGTGCTTAAATTGTACTCCATTGCTCTTCATATCATGGAAAAATGCAGTCAAATAGACTGCTTGGATCATCAGGTTTTCAAAGATCTTCTGAGGAAAGGAGTTCTGGGGGATAGGTTACCTCTCCAAACACTTAAGTGAGAAAAGATCCATCCATACCCATAGATCAGTGTATAGAAACCTTGAGTTGGTAGTGAGATGCTCAACTTCATTGGCTATGTCCTCTGGGTCTTGATGAAGAGGCAGCTTATAGTGCTCAAGCAAGAGGTCAACAGCAATTGACTTCACTTCTCCATGTAACTGAGCTTCTCTCTGTAGAATCTATAGTGTTATGTAATCAGAAACATTGGTCATGAGCTTCAGGTTGCTGACATGCATGATATCTTGTATTTCTGATTTGAATCCTGGATCCGATTTGAAGCAAGTTTTATAATGGTCTTGGAGGGAGCCAAGCTCTCCGCATGCAGACTTGAAGCATTTTGATGCCCACTGAACATGGAGGAGTGGGCTAGGAAAGGCATTGCAATTTGCCAATAATACCCAATATTTTTGATTTGCCAGCACAAAAATCAATTTTGTTGTAGCAGAGAGATCACTCATCTTTGAGTGCTGGCCGCTTCATTTGACTTGAGCCAGAGATCTCATAACATTGTTGTTAACCTTTACTGGGTGCCTGGCACATGCTGTTCGTAGCTGATGCTCTTGGACTTTGGGTTGGGCATGGATATTAAACTAGGCAGTGCATGGTAACATGCTGATATACTGAATCACAACGAAGCAAAGCATACTTGAATTTGCTCAAACTTGTCTCTACATTCTCCTGCATCTCTACATTCTCCTGCATCTCTTGGTGGGCATTTCTGTTTTGCCTTTGTTCCATTTGCCCTGTCTGCAGCTTTCAAAATGAAAAGTTGAGCTTCAGAAACAACAGTACTCTGCATGACAAGGCTTACATGCAGTAGTGCATTCCCTAGGAAATGCAGGTTTGCAGCGACTTTGTGACTCCTTCTGCTGAAAATGCTTGTCAACTTTGCTTTGAGCATCTTTGACATTCAGTTTCTGAACTCTCTTGACATTTTTCTTAATTGTGGTAGACCCCATTTGAGCTGCTGCAAGTGCTTGCACAGGCCTGTGCTGGGTTGATGGCCATGTTTGTACTATGTCCTCCTCTCCCCAGTGAACTCGAGGCTGTGTGTGGGAAATGCATGTAGGTTGGGTCCTCAGTACATCAGCAAAATCCTCTTCTTCTTGTTCCTCTTCCTCAGAGGACCCATCTCGATGACTCCACTGATCTCCATTGACATTCTGGATTGATGATGTGAGAAAACTTGCATGGTCTGTCTCCTCATCACCCAGACACATCCATTCTGTGATAATGCACTCAGCGTGATCTTTGCTGGCACAACAATGACTTACCTAAAGCTATGCTGCTCTCTGTATCCACTGTGTCCCGCCTTCTGGCATATGTGTCTACAACTTCAGCCTTAGTGAAAAGTGTGTGAGGCTTGATTTTACACACCAAGAAATGTTTCTGGGCTGTTTGACCTCAGGCTGTCTTGACAGAAGCATCTCCTGTGCCCCACAGACTTAGCAGCATGCCCACTGATGGCTTTTGTGCCTTTTTCATACTTCTCCATCCAGCCTAAAAGTGATCTTGCAGTTATGCCAGTACTGCATGAAAGAACTTGGCTGCATCAACCAAATCTCACCATCAGTATCCAACATGTGTGCTGCTGACTGTAAGGCAATCTGAGGGGATGCAAAGAGTCACAGGATGGGGGATGTGGAGGGCACAATTTTACTTCGTTACTATGCTATCTCATCAATCTGATTTGGGTGATTGCATCTGTGTCAAGGCAGGTGGACTCCGGGAATATGGATGAGAACTGTCTATTACTCTGGATGTTGGGATCTACACTATGAACCAGGTTTCAACACACACCAGATTATGCTTGCTGAAGTGTGTCACATATGAGACATGCACACAGCCAGGACTGGTTGGCCTCCTAACAACACCAATAACAGATATGGGTCTCATCACTAGCTATGAACATGATATGTAACGTTTATGGACATCCAGGATGTGCACACAGTTGATGCAGCATTTGTTTTCAGACACACATCAGAAGATTGTGTATCTTAGACTTCGACCTTTGATGAGTTAGCATTATCATTTTCAGTTGATTCTCTCACTCACTTCCACTTCAGTGACCATGTCTTCCTTATTCTTTCCCACCATCTTGTAATATAAACTGCAACAGTCTTTGTTGGTAATCCCCCTTTTGTCTAGAGAAAGCTATAGACAAGCATCAGTAAGATCTGAAGAAGTAGTCTCAGAGCAGGTGAGATACTGTCTTGACAACATTCTCCCAAAAGCCACAGGGAACATGGCAACTGGCATTATTTTTCTTCTCCTGAACATGCAAATGATGGATGAAGCTCCACTCTTTGTTGGTAAGGTGTTTCCCACTCAGTCCCTGTATTGCGCCAGATGGTTCATCCCCCATGGTCAGATGCCATCTGGAGGCCGCTTTCTTCTCCAGAAGGCCTTTGTGCAACTCTCCTGGCAGAAGTGGGGACCCAAACACAGCTAGGTTTTCACAACTACCTGCATTCATGAGTTAGTACATCTTGCTGCCTCTAGTGAAGAAAGTGTGATTGCCTTGGGTACAGCTCCTCAAGCTCATGCTTTCATCCATATTTCCCTGCTGATCCTCAGAATTGTCTCCCTCCCATCCCATTGCTATAATGCTGGGAGAAGACATTTTGTCTGGCTGCTGGTCGGCAGCTGACGTGCTGCTGAAAGCATTTAGTGCTTGACGCACCTTGCTTTCCATTTCACCTAAAGAAACATAGCAATTGGTGAGTCACGTCAGGACAAATACAAGATATGATCAGAGACTTACAGGCTTTAGAAGCAAAGATTGGGTTTTCCATCAACTCTTCATCCCAAGGCCTAGTTTTCAAGGCACCCCAAGGTTTCAGAAGAGTGGCATAAGCTTCTAGATTGGCAAGTCCATTGACAAGATCTGCAATGTGCATTGACACAGATGTTGCTCAGTTGCGCGGCTTGGTCATCTTGCTAAGGAGAACAGGAGATTTCTTTTCTGGGGAAATCACAAAGGAGCAAGAGAGAGAGAGAGTGACAAGGTTCAGAGCAGAAAGTGTCAGAGCAGGTTTTTATACTCATGTGAACATGGTCCCCCAATTTGAGCCAATGTCCACAAATCCACAAAAACCAAAAACCATATATTGCAGAAATGCGGAACTAGAGGAAATGCTGTTTCAGACCACTAACCATCACTATATATATGTGTCACCAAACTTTGGATAAGGTAGAAAACGTGCACCAATGTATTCATAATGCACATACACCAGTAGATGTGTGGAAGTCCTTGTGTTATATAAAGGCTATGTGTGTGATCCATTCTGCCTGGGCTCATGGATCAAAACTGTTGAGTTCATCCACTGCCTTTCATTCTACTACTAGTACTGGCTGCATCAGTGCCTCCCACTTCTCATGCTACTGGCAAAGAGGGCATCAATCAAGTAACCAATGATGAACGTACCACAGTGAGCCATTTTTTGCATTTCTAATATCATGATACAAAGCTGGAGGAGCGCAGACTTGCTCTCATGATAAGGGTGATGACAAAGATGAGTGTGGTATGGTGGCACGCAGCCTGAGCCTGAGAAGACCCCAAGCACAAGAAAGCGGAGTTAGAAAACCTTAAAGAGGGGCCTGCAGTGGGGTCCTAGTAAAGCATCTGGCTCCTCTGGAAGTCATCTCCATCTTGAGATCAAGAATTGGCCCTCAACATTCCTTCACCAAACCTTGAAGGCTATGGAGAAGGACATTGAGATGGCAGCCTAAGCAATGGATCTGATACCTATCCATAGGCTAGAAGAGTCTCATCAACCACATTGCAGCTGAGGTATGTGTGGCACAACATCAATTTGTACTCCAATGATATGCCATGCACACAACCAAGCATCTCCTTCCAGCATGAGTCTTTAGCATCTTTCCCCATGGGTATTGAAATCAATGTACAAGGCCAGATCAAACACTGCTGATGTCTTGGCCCCCTCCTCCAGGATGGTCAAGTCTGCCATCAAAACCATCCATGCCCCAAGCATTGCAAAAGATCTGCTAGAGGTGCAAGCAGAAGCTGGTCTCAAAGACCAATTTGAGTGGCAAGGTGAAGCATGCTTCACAAGTGCCAATTATCACTCTAAGAGAACTGTGTGGTTGCTCAAGGTAGGCATCCTCTCCCCTCTCCCCTACTCAATATTGGTTATGACCTTGATGGTAGGAGATTGGGGTTCCCTACAAGATCAAGTCCTACCATTGTCTTCCATGGAGGCAGGCTCCTCCAGAACTCAAGGCTATTCACTCACTCAGGAAGAGTCCTGTGATGCAGGATGGTTATGGCAAGCTTGGGGAGAGGGGGGTGATTATTGGTGCATCTCTGCCATGATAGCTACAGAGGGAGGCTGAGGTCCAACAGAGTACTTAATCAAGAAGTATGGAAAGGGCAGATTTGAACTGGGCAAAGATGGATGGGTGGATAACCTCTACTGTGCATATTCACTCCCCATCTCTGTCCTTCAGTGTTTCTGGGCTGAGCATTTGACAGACACACACTTTGCAGAAGGCAGCATCATTGTCATGGGCCTCATATTCACCATGGGTACCCTTCTTCATCTGCCCTATTGCGGGCCTTATTTGTAACAGTGCATCCTGTGCTATGTCTTCCTGAGAGGAGCTGATGAGGAGGGAAGGCATACAGCATTTGTTTATCGATCCACAGTTTAAAGAGAATGCAAAGATGGTCTGCCTCCTCCCTCCTCTGGAGTAGCTAGCTAACCTATCTGCAGATCAAAGCTCATCTCACAAAGTCCTCTACCAGTTAGTTTGCCTCCACCCCACAATGTCTGCTGACTTCCTCATGATCTTCACTCTGGAGATGCTGGTTGTGCAAGGTCCAGGGGTAGATGTTGGAATCCCAGTGCTTCTCCATCTTCTTATGGGAGTTAGCTTACTTCTATGTCCCTGGTCCTGTCATACAAGAGAACAAAGACTTTGTGCCAGAAGGACAAGAGGAAAGGAGGAAGAAAAGTGAGGAGTGGCAGATTGAACATGTGCTGTTCCATGTTTAGGAAGTATCTTTGTAGTGTGGGTTGCAGAGTCTAGAGGGACTTATATGGGGTGTTTGAGCAAATTTGTGTTTCTCTTTGTGTTTTTGTTAGGGCTCCTGATTCCTGTATTGAATCTACATTGTATTGTATCTGCATTATTGTACATTATTGTTCATTTATTGACCAGTCTACATTAAACCTGTGCAACAAGAACCCCTCACCCTACAGTGCCGTGACCACAGACCAAACCCCTGCACTCAGCATCCAAGAACAGAAATTGTGGATCACATGTTCCCAATCACTAGGGAATTTGAGTGAATCAGTGCCATGTTTGCATTTCTGAGAGCCATGGTCAGTGCATTATTGAAGACAGTCACTGGAGTTCTCAGTCTTTGGATTGTGGGGTAATGAGCTGCAATGGTTCTGCCCCCATCTCCATCATCTTCATTGAGATGGAGTGCAGTACAATGTCAACCAGTGTACTCCACTTTGTTTGGGCAAATCCCAGATCAAATCCTTCCAATGCAGCATCCGCAATAAGCTTGTCCCATTAGGTTTGGAGTTTGCTGACCTTGAAAGAAAACTTGTTGTTTTATCTGCAGTTCTCTCTGGAGTGTGGTTAGATAGTCTTCTTCAGAAATGGAGACCAAACACTCACTTCTGAATCTGCAACTTTGGCTTTGAAGAACTTGTTGCCATTGTCTGGACTCTCTGTGGACTCCATTGCAGAATTGTCCATGACATACTCTAATTTGTGTGGCTTTGCAAAGACATCAGATAATGCTGTGGGTCTCTCCATTTTGACAGGTCTGACTGGGGGCCTGGCTGCCTCCAAATCTAGGAATAGCAATCTCCAGGAATCATATGAGCTGCTGGTATTTCATGTTGGATACATTGACTTTCCACTCTGGAAGTTGACCTGCTACCTTGAACTGAGTCAAGAATGGTGCATCAGGTGAGATGCAGTTCTGAATGAAGAAATTGATGTTGATTTGCTCTACCACATGGACTTTGACCACTCCCTTGTCATGTTCTCAAAGTGCTGACATGCATGAGAATAGATTGAGGCCAATCAGGAGGTGGGTGGATTGGAGCTTCAAGAAAAAAAAATCGTACATATGGGACTGTAGCTGTTTATAATCTTCTTTGCTGTATTGCTGAGAACATTTCGCATCAATTTCTGCTAGTGTGCTCTTTTCTATGAGACCACTTTGGATTGCAATGTGGCCAGCATCCAAAATCATATGTGCACATTGTTTAGCCATGATACTGAGAAGGTCAGAAGTGAGGGATTTTCCATGCAAAGAACACATACTGTTCAGGTATGATGATGATAGGGGCATTCATGTCCATATGGATATCAAGTGTTTTATCATGTTCTAATCCAGCTTGTGTCTCCTTCTGCATACCTTCAAGGGTGGTACTGGCAACGTCCTATGAAATTGTCAGCAGGATGGGTTTGGTAGATCATAGTGACACAGCCTAATCATAAATATATGCATTGCATGAAGAAGGGGTATCCAAACTAGTGAGACATATCTTCTTCTTGACCCTCTAAAAGTGAACGAGACCATGCCAACAACTTTGAGCTGGCTTTGATCTGCACAGATAGATCAGTTGATCATCCTCTATCTCTGGGGAGACCCCTTGCTAACCTGTGAGTGATCATAATGTGCAAGTTGAAATGCGGTCATTGACAGAAACAACAAAAGTGCAATGTAAGCTTGCCCTAGCCATCAGTCAGAGCTGAAAGATTGGAATAACTGAGTGCCTCCCACCATCTTCCCATGTCTCACAAAAATTGACTCTACCCTTTGTAAGGGTACTGCCTTGCAATTTATGAACAGTAAATGCCCTGGCAAGTATAAGTGAGAGCTATCTCTGGAATCAGCGGATCCTGAGCACAGGTAATATGTATGAAGCATACCTGACAATGGTATGCAACAAAGTGTTTCCATTTCAACACATTCCACTCATGAGGGGTGATGAGAATTGTTTGCTTGAGTTGATTGGCTCTCTCCAGAAACCTCACCACCAGATACAGGCAGTCATCACTTCTCAATTGCTCATGACAGAATCTTGGTCCTGTCATGTCTGCTTCTTCCACTCTGCCCTCCCAATGTTTGCCTTTTGCATTCCAAGTTTGCTTGGACAAGAAGCTGAGAACAAAACCAAGTCGTCCATTTACAAGCTTGTTATCATTTGGCATGTTTTGGATGAGCATAACGGGTGCTCTTGCTTTGAGGAATACAGATGCAGGCACAATGAGTCTGTTGAAAGCATTTGAGGTGCTTTTGTGGGTATATCCATGATGGCATGGTACACATGGTTGATGCCATCAAGCTTATCCAGGACCTGGTTGTTAGCTTCACTGACAAACTTCCGTTTTGCAAAGCTACCAACCATGGTAAACCAATGTGCTTAAGAAGAGGTGATGTGACTGACATGCAAACCAGCTCCACCCTGTTGTCAAACCCATCTTCATTGCAGAGCTCTTGCAATTTCCTGTCAGCCCAATCAGAGATTACTCCTTTTTGCACTTCATTAAGAATATCAAGAAACACTGCAAAATAATGAAAATCAATAATGAAAGATGCATGCAGGAGAAGTGTTTCTTAGCTCCATTGTGTTGTTGGTATACTTTCATGAGCATCCAGGGGTGAGTGACTGTTGATTCCCATTCCTCTGCCTCAAATGCAAACTTGGCACATTCTCCGTCATCCTCAACCAGTGGAAGTTGAAAAAAGTCACCAGTCAACATGACCTGCTATCATGATTAGCAGGATCAGATACCAGCCATAGAACAATTCTTGCTTGGATTCCACCAAAAGGTAGCAAATATTTCCGGATGTGTTGTGCAGTCTGAGCAAGCTTATCCAAAAGTGAAGCAGAGAACATGGAAACTGTTCCAAGTCAAGAGATGATCCAAACAAGTCAATGAGGGAAGCATACTTTTGTCTATCAGGAGAACCCTCACATCATGCCAGTGCTGCCTCTTCTCTGGATCTCTCTTGATTTCCTGGCATATCTCTTCAAGCTCTTCACCCTGACCCCTAATTCCCTCCCAGTTATGGAGGGTCTGACTGCCAATATGAAATGATGCAATCCCAGAGGTAGCAGTGACTGCAATCGCAAGAGGATTAGCTTCAAAGCAGTGATCATTCTGTAGGGTGGCAATGACTGTGTGCAGTAATATGCTCTTCCTGCTTCCTGTCATTCAACAATTATCAATACAGTTCTCCCAATAGTGTTAGGGGAACATACCTGCAGGGCCCATGAAGAAGACATTTTTTCCAGAGAGGATGAGCTGATGAATGAAATATTGCTGTGGTGCTAGCTGGGGAAGTTGCTCATCAATATGGTCAAGCATTGAAAAGCTCTTCAGTGCTGGTTGTCCGGTTTTAGACTGAACAGCATGTGAAGTAGAAGTTCTTGAAACAATGGGTATTGTTCATATTAGAGGTTGTGGTTTTGGTTTAGAACTGGTTGGCCTCACAGCATGAGGAGATGGGATGTGCCATGTCTCATGTTCACCCTTGAGGGGTTCTTGCACTGCAGCTGATACAGAGGATGATACAGCCATGTTGACAAGACTCTCAGTGTGGTGAATGCCAGAGAGGTTGGCATGCTTTGGCACCAGTGTTGCAGAAACATGTGCTTTGAGTCAGACAATGGGGCCCAGGGCCGTCAGACCTAACGGACTTTCTACATCATTCCGAACATGAGCTGCTTGTGATCTTGAGTGCAGTTGTAGAGTATATGCTTGAAAGACTCAGGAAGGAGTTTTAAGGTTTGTATCAACAGATGAGGAGGTAGTAGCCTTAGTGGGGTGCATCCTCCCGCCACCTGACTGTTAGGGCAACACAGGCTGACTAAGTCTGCTCACCTAAGAGTGCCAAGAGTCTAAGCAGGCAACAAGGAAGTGGAGTAGACCTGATGACTAAGACCTATCTACAGTATAGGTACCTGTGGATGATCCTAAGAGACCAAGTCTGAAGAGACAGTCCCCAGGCAGAGTAGGCCTTATATTTATACCTCTGTGGTGGAACCTGCTAGAACATCTTGCTTACTCAGCCTAGTCAGGTGGTCAGGTCATATGACCAAGGATGAGGTCATATGAGGTCATGCACAGCCATGCACAGCAGGTCACCTGACCATCCAATCCTTCCAGCAGGTCCAGCACA